ATATATATATAATATATATAAATATACATAAAATATATATATAAATAATATATATATATAAAATATATATTGTTTTTCCAATTCATTTATTGCTCACAGAGTTTCTATAGAAGTATAGTTGTTGTCTGTTCGCATGTAATGTGACGTTACAATAATGGCCATTATAGTATTAAAGTACTGATCACATATATATACATATGTATATAGTGGCCATTATTGTAACGTCATTTTTAATATTCACTGACAAGTTTAAATATATTCCTCTAAATAATAAATATAAATATTAAATATAATAATTGAATACATATTCTAAATAAGTTCCTTTATATTTGTATATTTGACTCTATCTTTTATGGATTCGTATTTACTGACGACTCTCTTCATACGGAACAAAAGTCAGACTTTTGTAAATTTTTAATGGTACTTGCCAGTCTTTGGGTAAAAAGCTGTTGTTTACTATTAAAAGCAGTTGGCAATTGAAAGAAGATGGACATGAAGGAAAGGTGAAAAAAGAGGGAAAATGTCATATATCTCGAACCTAACTTGCATCCCGACCTGTTATAGAGCGGCAGAGCCGGTATCCGACACTGGAGGTGGTGTTCCAAGTTCCGGCAAACGTAAGGCACCGGAAGTGCTCAAGACTCACCACGAGTTACGCAAGAACATGGAACGTGGTCTGCACGAGCGTGATCGAGTCGGTGTCCAGGACTTTGTTCTCCTCGAGAACTTTGAGAGCGAGGACGCGTTTATCGACAATTTGCGAAAGCGTTTCAATGAGAATCTAATCTATGTGAGTAGAGGATGTCCCAAAAAAAGACGTTCTTTTTCTAAAGAAATTGTCAGGCCAATTATCTTATGAAGCCAGGTTTCACTTTCTTCCTGTATTGTCTAGTTGCGAACAATACCTGCAGTTGATCTAAGTTTATTATTTGCTTGAAATCACTTATAGAAATGGAGCTTGAATTTATTTATAGAAAGTTTAGAAATTTTTAAATCTTTCCGACAAGTATTTAAACTTCTAGTTAGATTATTATCACCGTACAACAGTTTCGGATAAAAATTGTTGATTCAACAACGACAAAGTACATGACAAAGCGTTGCCAAAGAAAATGCCAAGATTTAGAAATACGAGATTATATTTATTTGACATTCCACAGATTTAAAAAAAAAACAGTTCTTTTCTCGATTTGCAAAGTAGTTATACGTTTGCTGAAAATTTACTAATTCAATTAGCTGTGCTTCAAACAGGTGTTAATTTCCATGATAATTTCATTAACAAATCGACCTATCTGTTCCGTGTTCACAAAGAATTTAATCTTTTATTGCTCAAACCAAGTGAACGAAGTTTTACTAATTTTTCAGACGTATATTGGTCAAGTGTTGGTATCAGTGAATCCTTATAAAAAATTACCGATTTACACCTCAGAAGTCATTCAATACTATCACAGAAGAAATTTCTTCGAAGCTCCGCCACACATGTGAGACACTGAAATTATAAAGTGTTCTATCTCCCAGTCTAGATGATTAATAATTCGAAATTTGTTGTTTCATTTCAGTTTTGCACTTGCTGACACCGCTTATCAATCTTTGTTGAAGGAGAATCGGGATCAATGTATTCTGATCTCTGGTAAGAAGCAAATTAATTGCAATTTAAAAGTTGATTCTAGCTAACGTAACAAACAAAAATATGTGAAATGTATATAGTATCTAAAAATTTATTAATATTTAGTAAATAAAACAAATTTCCACTTGAGTTCCGCTTCCTTAATTATCTTTATAAAAATTTTAAGATGCAGTCTAAATGAATGAAACTTAACACTCCGTTCAATTCATTTAATTTAAAATTTTACCAAGAGAGTAATAAAAATTCCTTAAAAAAATACAAATGCTCATCTATCGGGTATAAATTAAATACTCTTGGAACTGAAACTGCGTAGGCGAATCCGGTTCAGGGAAGACGGAAGCTTCGAAGAAGGTGCTAGAGTTTATCGCTGCCGCCACCGGGCACAAGAAACAAGTGGAAGAAGTAAATGATAAATTAATCGGTAGCAATCCGGTGCTCGAAGCTTTCGGAAACGCAAAAACTAATCGCAATGATAATTCGTCCCGTTTCGGCAAGTACATGGATATCCAATTTAATTTCCAGGTACAAATGAAAGAATTGTTTCATCGTCTTTATCGTTTGCCTAATATTAATAATTAAATTTAAAAATTCTTGCAAATCGACTAAAGCATTCAGATACTTCTGAACGATAGTGTGTATATATATATATATATATATATATATATGTATATATTTGTATATGAGAAAAATGTGTCATGAGTAAATAAAATCAAACACGTTTCCAGGGAGATCCAATTGGTGGAAACATCTTAAATTATCTACTCGAGAAGTCGCGAGTGGTGCATCAATTTTCAGGAGAGCGTAATTTCCACATATTCTACCAATTACTGGCCGGTGCAAGCGAGGAAACATTACGAAAATTGTACCTCAAAAGAAATTTAGATACATACTATTATATGAGCAACGGGGTAAGCTTTTTAATCAACCGACTATTATAACGTACATATTGTAAAACACATTGTAAAACGCATGTGATTTCTAGACGAGAGGCACCATAGACACAATAGACGATGCTGTTCAGTATAATGAAGTAATAAAGGCGATGAAAACTATGGAAATGACTCAGCAGGAACAGGATGATTTATTCGCAATAGTTGCATCCGTACTGCACATGGGAAACGTTGGTTTTACTGAGGAAGATGGTGTCGCGCAAATTTTGAAACCAGCTTCCGTAGAGGCAGTTGCCGCTGTAAGTCTGTTCAACATTCATACAACGCGTAAAATAAATAATGACCTTACCTTTGAAATCTTTTAAAATTTGCCTGATGGATATTGATTGACCAGTTATTTGCAATTTTTCAACTCGCAGTTATTGGGTTGCAACATAAAGCAATTGGCGGAAGCCTTTACAAATCGCACTATAGACGCCCACGGCGACGTGGTCGTTTCCCCATTGAACAGAGAATTCGCAATTTATGCACGGGATGCGTTGGCGAAAGCTGTGTATGACAGACTGTTCACGTGGCTCGTGACCAGATTGAATAAATCCTTGCAGCCCGTTAATAATCCACATAGCAAGATGGTCATAGGAATTCTGGACATCTACGGTTTTGAAATTTTCCAGAAAAACAGGTACACGCTCCCTGAAATTAAATAATATTTGTTAATAATCTCTCTCTTATTAGCGGTGATTGATTAAAGATATCGTTTTACAGCTTTGAACAATTTTGTATAAATTACTGTAATGAGAAGTTGCAACAACTTTTTATACAATTGACGTTGAAATCAGAGCAAGAGGAGTACTTGAGAGAAGGAATAACATGGGAAAATATTCATTATTTTAATAACAAAGTCATTTGCGATTTAATTGAAGAAAAGTATAAAGGTAGTAATTTAAGATCTTAGAAAATTAATGAAGATAGTAAATATAATGTATTGTTTTATGATATTTTTTTATTTAAGGTATAATATCTTTGATGGATGAGGAATGTCTCCGTCCAGGAGAACCAACAGATTTGAGCTTCCTGGAAAAATTGAATGTAAATTTGAATAATCATCCCCATTACATAAGTCATATGAAAGCAGACCTGCAAACACAGAAAGTTATGGGACGTGATGTAAGATATCAACTCTTTGATCTGTTATGTAGTCTTCTAATAATTTTCTCTAACGTAATTGCATATTTTAGGAGTTTAGATTGATACATTATGCTGGCGAGGTAACGTACAACGTTCGTGGATTTCTTGAGAAGAATAATGATTTACTGTACAGAGATTTGCGTGAAGTGATGTCACACACGACGAATTCAATTATTAAGGTACATTCGCTGAGAAAAAGAGAGATTTATATATAGAAAGTATTTTTTCGGTACTGTATATTAAAATTCATAATTTTATAGAACGTGTTTGATGTGAAAGATTTAACTAGCAAAAAACGACCAGACACTGCCATTACGCAGTTTAAAAACAGTTTAAATAATCTGGTGGAAATTCTTATGGGCAAAGAACCTTCTTATATCCGTTGTATCAAACCCAATGACTATAAAATGGCTAGTAAGTTTCAATAATTTTTGTTTAATTAAAAAAGTATTTCAGATATTTCAAAATATCTTTAATATTATTTTAGATCAATTCAACGAGCAAATTATACTGCATCAAGTAAAGTATTTAGGTCTTATGGAGAATTTAAGAGTAAGACGAGCTGGTTTTGCCTATAGAAGACCGTACGAACAATTCTTACAACGTTATAAATCTCTATGTCCACAAACATGGCCAAACTATTATGGTTCTGCTAAAGAAGGTGTTCAGCTGCTCGTTTGTCATCTTGGCTACGAACAAGATGAATATAGGATGGGCAAGTAAGAACTGATAGACAAATAAGGAGTTGTATAAACCATTTTTTTAACACATCTAACATTGGATAAAATTCATTCCATAGCACAAAATTGTTCATTCGATTTCCTAAGACATTATTCGATACGGAAGATGCCTTCCAAATGAAGAAACATGAAATAGCTGCTATTATCCAAAGCAAATGGAAATGTATACTAACAAGACGAAGATATTTAAACATGAAAAAAGCGGCAATAGTTTTTCAAAAGTATATTCGAAGATGGTTGGCAAAACAAGAAGCTGAAAGAAGACGAAAAGCAGTTATTACTATTCGACGGTATTATAAATCAATTCTATTGATTAAATATTTTTCAGATATTTTAAACAAAATACAATAAATCGAAATAACTTCGTACAGATTTATCGAAGGATTTATTACACGAAATGGGCCACCAACAGAAATTAACATTGCTTTTATCGAGCTAGCAAAGTCTCAATGGTTAATCAAGCTCTCTAAATCACTTCCAGTTGGTGTTTTGAATAATTATTGGCCTCCGTGTCCGTACTCTTGTCGAGAAGTAAGATAAACGGTTATTTAATTGTTATAAATGAATTTTTTTTTTTAAATAATCATGTTAATGAATAATAATCAATGTAGGCCTCAGAACATTTGCGCATCATATGCAAAAGATGGAAAGCTCGCAAATATAGATTGGCTTTGTCAAAAGAAAATAAAAAACAGTTTGAATTAAAAATATTAGCTGAATCTCTTTTCAAAGGCAAAAAGAAATCGTATGCAAAGAGCTTCGGACCAAGGTTCCAAAATGATCGACTTGGTCCCGAATACAATGCGCTGAGAGAAAGCTTCACCGCTAATCATCTTCCTAGAAATGAAACTATAAAAGTAATAAGTTTTTCATGAAACTTATGTTTTTGAAATTTTAGTTTCAATAATAATTTTTATTTATATTATTTTTTTAGTATGCGACTCCTGTTATTAAATATGATCGGCATGGTTACAAACCGCGTGAAAGGGTACTAATTTTAACAGAATATGCTGTGTATATTTTAGATACCTTAAAAACATTCAAACTGAAACATCGACTTCCTTATAAATCCATTGAAGAGTTGGTGGTTACAGGAGAATCGGATAATTTATTGATTGTTAGGATACCACCCGAATTAAAAAAAGACAAGGTTTGCTATTATTAAGAAAATAAACTATTACTATTTCTTAATTGTTCTTATTTACGTTTTGTTTAGGGTGACTTAATTTTGGAAGTACCACATATCATAGAAGCATTAACAAAAGCAATTGATATCACTAATAATCCGAATATTCTTAAAATTGTTAATACAGAATCGTAAGTACAAATGAAATTAGTTAATTCTAATAGTAATAAATATGCTAAATGTTTAACTAAAATTGTCTTTTAGAGTTTCACATAAGCTAGTCAGTGGGAAAGAAGGTGTGATTGAATTCAAAACTGGTACAACTCCAACTATTAGTAAAAACAGACAAAGCGGACATTTACTAGTGGTAAATAAAATGTTTGCTAGAAATATATAAAAATAATGTATACTGTTTAATTTGTAATTTATATTTAATATTGCAGGTAGCTTCTCCATAATGTTCGAACGATATTTCAAACGACCTTGTACTTACTTAGAAAGATATATACTTGTTCAATGGATATAAAATATACGTAACCTTAATTGATGTGATCTAGAGTGGAATGTTATTAAGAAGAGATAATATATTAAAATTTAGTACATTTATCAAGTGAAACTCACAGTTTTGTATGTTGTTATATGAGTTGTGTAAAATATCTTGTGAAATAATGTTTATTTTTGTAATTAGCGCATTATCAGTGAACTGATATAAATCAATTAAGAATGAGACATGTGCCTTCTACGAAACTATTGTTAAATAATCGCACAAAAAAAGTAATTTATTGCGGGATGCTTTACAAATGCCTTAATATTTTCTTTTTCTATATTTATATTCTATAAGTCACTGTGCCATTGATTTCATGTTCAGAATTATTTTATGAAATAACAGTATAAAGTTAAATTAAAATAATGATCTTAAATCAAATTAATGACTTTTCTCATTATTTACATTTTCCTGTACAATAAATTTTACATACAAGTCATTTTATATAACAAGATAGTTTGCTTATTTATTTCTATTCTTCACAAATGTGGTAAAGTGTAGTCGTATTACATGAAAAACTTTATAATATAGTTTGTAATACAAAATGTTATCCACATTACATTTATCATCTCAGTAAAAATGAAGAATACTTTTTATTATCAATTCTTAAATAATAAACTACTTCTTTTTCGAAGTAGCAGATTTCTTCTTAGTAAGTGACATTTTTCCTTCTAAAGCTTTTTCTCTTAATTCATTTTCCACTGCTTTATTAACTGTTTTTGTAATCATTTGCTTTAACTTATGTGTTTCTTCAAATTTTCTTTTTTTAGGCTGAATAGGTGCATCTATAAAAAGGAGAATTCAAATATTTTTTTGTGAATAAAGTAATATATAATTTACTTACAATTATAAAAAAATACTTACTATTTCGCCGTTGAATAGCAGGAGTATTTTTATTTTTATTCTTATTTTTCCCTTTTACTGTTAGTGGTACGTTAGTTTTCACTTTCAATTTTCCTTGAGCCATGTCCTAAATATTTAACAAACACTTTATAATTATATTAAGCACATCCTATTATACTCAACTTAACCTCTTTAACCTAACTTAAACTTTACCAAGGAAATACATATATAGGCATAAATTAAATATGTATTGCTAAGTATATAAAAAACATCATGAAACATTCAGTACGTACATAAAAACAATAATATGTTTAATTATTCAGTTTTTATGAGTTTATTTATTTTATATTTTATATCTTACGTCATTGTTGACGTGCTGTGTGTACTATGTACTATGACCACACAAAAATTGTAATATTTGTCAAATTATAATATTGCATAATAGATGCAATGTTTTAAATATACGATTTATTATAATATAATATAATTTCCAATTTTAATTTTTTTTTATTTTTAACTACATTAAGATTATACGAAAGTTATACGAAACTTGTATGTGTTGCATTTAACTGTTCGTATTGTCGACTACAATTTACTGTTATCAGACAGTTTGATTCGTATTTTACGAAATATCGTGTTTGACTCTCGTCTCTTTTTTATCACTTATTTAATACAAAGGAACAGAGCGATCAAAATGGCTCTTTCCAAGCCTACAAATTTTATATTTCAACTTACTGCTGCTTACTTTCAAAGTCTTTATACGAGCCCACTGAAGACTAAAGCGATCACAAGGTACGTTATAACGAACACAAATTTTTAAATGGTATTTTAAAGATAAATCATTTGTCCCTCAGTTGTGTCATCGCAGCTTTTGGGAATTTTGTCTCACAAAAAATTTCTGGTGCAAAACATTTCAATGAAGATAGTTTTCTTGCATTTGCTCTTTTTGGGTAAGTTCAAATATCAATATATTCATTTAAGTACAGCTAGTATAATTTTTCATCTTAAAATTCTTTGTTTTAATAAGATATCATTCTTTCACAGGCTGTTTTTTGGAGGCCCACTTCCACATTATTTTTATACATATATACATCCATTTGTAAGAAATCCTTTATTACTTTTGTTGATAGAAAGGTGTTTATATACACCATGTTATCAGGCATTAACATTATACATGTTGTCTATATTTGAGGTATGATTTATTTATGTCAATTTGTTTCTGTCATTTATTGCTCTTTTTCAGTCGCTCAAACTTAAATTCACTTCATGCAGGGTAATTCACATGATAATGCTTGGAAACAAATGAAAAAATTATATTGGCCAATAATTACTGCAAATTTAAAATATTTGACATTGCTTCAATTTATTAATTTAAAATATGTTCCACCAATAGTAAGTTCTATCGCTTGAGTTTTTAATAATTAATAATTAAAACTGCTTTTCTAGTGATTGAAAATTAATATACATTTAACAATTTCTTTTCAGTTACGTGTCCTCGTGGTAAATCTTATTGGTCTTGTTTGGGCTATATATCTTGCGCAACAACGTTCTAAACAATCAAAAGCCATAAAATAATATAAATGCAACAAGAAATTAACATATCCATACAATAGAAATTTAGTTTTTATGAATTTATGAGACCTATATTTGTTGAATATTACGTATGTAAATTATGTAAATAATTTCTCATTCCAATGTTAAACAAATTAATGTATCATTGTATTACTCTATATTATATACAGTGCATTTATACTACTTACACTATTTTTTAATTAAGTTTGTTACTATTAAAAAACTACAGCATAAAAATGATTATGGTATAAATAAATTTTATATGCACTTTATGAAAGAAGAAGAAAATATTTTAAGCTTTTTAATTTAATCACACAACAACAATACAGAGTATATTACAGATATAATCAGAATTTCTTTCATTTCAACGATGGTAACATTCGATGGCTGTAAATTATGAATAATAAATATTAAAGTCAAAAGCCATGGTGTGCAAAGTATAACATAGTTTCTCTTTTGCACGTTTGTATAAATAACTTTCACTTCATATCTATTAGAGTTTTATAATATTGTAAATCGTATTAATCAAAAAATAAATTGAATTTCTCAGATTTTATAATAATCCTGTAAAACAAGTGTTTCGTGATAAGTATTTATGTTTTTGTCAGTTTTATAGATATGCATCAGGGGAGAATTAATATTGCAACACCATAGCAATTGACATTTATTTTCTCCCAATAAAACTCAGTCATTATGCAAGAGCTAATTCTACAGTTCTTCCTAATTATAAACAATGTAGACTTTTCAAATATGATTTTTTAACCCTATACATACATTTTCAAGACTTAACTTTGAATAATCAAGACTAATCTAATTATGTCTTTTGGTATGCTGCCTGGCCTTACAGCCAAATGAAAACTTTCTGACTAGCATTCAGATAAATTGAGTATTGCCAGTAAATGAAAGTTTAAAAGTTTAACATCACTTTTATACACTTTCTTGCCTTCGAAATTGATAAATGACTAGCTATTTGTGATATAAATAAATAAATAAATAAATAAACAAATATATGTCAGAAAATAAATAAATCAATATAGCAAATGAGCACAGTGCTAAGTTTATGCACAATAATATCTATATACAAAAGGAACAGATGTAGAACATTGCACTAAAATATTAATTATTACTTCCTTGAAAAATGAATAGATCAATTCGAAGGATGTTTTAGTAAAGTACATTAATTACTAATGGAATGTCTAAAATTTGACTAGCTGGTGTTTGTATAACAAACAATTAATAGAATTAAATTATCACGCGAACATTGAACTACTAGAGTAGTTTTAAATAAATCTTCAAAGAATAAAATTATTATTGAATAATAATGCGAGATCTTAAGAAGCTGGAATCAACACAGTTCATGATGCTTATACATAATTATCATTGCCTTCTTATTGCTTAAGTACTTAGAAAAACATTATTTTATGAAGACAAAATTCACAAGATCGTGAGACAACATAATTAATGAAGATAATGTACTTTCAAAAATGATTGTTATCAAATTTTTCTATATATTGATTATACATCCTATTATTAAAATATCTCTTCTGATTACTCTTGCACTTTTAACTTCCAAATCTTGTTCCAATTCAGAAAATTAAAAGATTAATAGACAAATTTCTAATTTCTTTGATAATATGTTTCGTTAGTAATAAATCATGGATCCATATAAATATAAATATCATGCTGTAAGTACATTAAAATCATTCTTACCTAATATCTAACTAAAATAAAAATGGAGCAATAGAAATAACGTTAGTGTTACTAATACTGATGGCATTATGGTGAACCACCACCAATGAGTATTGTTAAGTTATAAGATCAGACATGTAAATGCATATTAAGAATTTATAAAGATTTAAAGATCATGCACCAAAGTCAGAATGGTGTATTATCTTTGTACCTTTCTGATACGAAAAAATACAGTGAAACCTTTCTTTACAACTGCGCCAATTTCCAACATTATAAACACGATTTAACATGACGTAAGACTGTTAGAAAAAAGCATCGAAGGACCTCCATGATCTGCACCATTCCAAATCTGATACATAAAAGGAACGTCTAGTCTTTAGGGATCCGCTTGATCGCTTCAACGCGTGTATGATGGACTTCGACTCGGGGAACAACTTGATCGATGACTTGGACTTGACCAATTACTATGTCTGCTGCTATCTGAACTACTCGGTGACGAAGGTGGTGTCGGAGTAGGTCGATGATATGGAATTGGTCGTTTCCTGGCGCTAAAATTAACGACTCTCGATATTATGATAATCGTAACAGTTATATCTAACAAAATGAAAGAATGTTAGTTAAAGATCAGATTTATTGCATAAATTAGTATAATGTAAATAAATATTTAATACATATTGACGATGAATATTAAAAAAAAGAACGTGCAAAATAAATCATGCAATGCACCAAAAACCATGCAAAAATAAAAATGTGTCACTTACCTTGCCATGTCTTTGATAAAGGAAGGCAGTGTGGATTGAAAATGATTCACAGAATACAATGAACAAAAATGTATATCAACAACTAAAGAAAAAGGCTTGCTTTTATAGCAGTAAATACATTTTATTTATGACTGACATAAAATAAAAGAGACTCTCTACTGCAAATGTTTAATTTACAATAATTTATAAGGAAAATACACGCATGCTACGTCTATATGACATTTTTAGATCATTTTATAAGCGATTAGATATAAACGAAAAAAAGGAAAAAGAAAAATCATACAAACATAGGTATATTTGACTGAGTATACTTGAAATAAAATTGGTACCAGTGCGATAAAGTATACTTTCACTCTACAAGGATAATGAAGTTCACTGATCAAACATATTGCATATAAGTGTAGAATAGTGTTAAAAGTAGTAGTCCATTAGAAAATTATTGAAGTGATACTGATAAAGTTGTAATGTGACACATTCACGAATAATTATAATAGTCACTAAACATACTCATTAATAGTTATACTAAACTAATCTTCACGATTGCAGCTATCTGCTTCGTTTCTCTTTCTTTTTGTTTTAATTATTTATTACGAAAATGAAATTCGGTATGCATCACATGTTTATTACTACATTATAATCATAGGAAAGTAATAAAAACATCTGTGCGAAGCCGTAACTTTATCTTCTATGTCTGTCCCTCGATCTGTCCCTGTAGGACACAACATAAAATGGCATTAGTTTAATAAAAGAACGTTCAAGAGTAAACTTATCGATATCGTTGCTTCACGTAAATTGCTTGTTATCCGTTGAAACTTCTTATACAAGTGAGCGTTTCAATCGTGAGAAGGGCACATTAATGACAAGGAAGTAAAATTAGAACAATGAAAATAAAAAATAAAAATAAGAACTGAAAGAAAATAAACATTTCTACGATCGATGCAACGACGTGGGCTTATAAAATTTGGCGTGGTGCGCTGTAAAACCTGTTGCTACGATATCGAAACTACGCTTCTGTAAAATACCTACCTTGTGATACGACGTCTATCGAGGAAACTAGGTGAGCCGTGACGTCGAGGTATTGACGGAGACCGAGATCTGCTAGAAACTGAACTGCTGGACGTTGAACGAGAAGATCTACTAGAAACGCTGCTTGATGACCGTGATGAGCTAGAGAAACTTCTACGACTATGCCTTGAACTGAACATAAAATGAGATTAGATTAAAAACATTTTCTGTAGAAGCGGAATAAAAAAAAACGATATCGAAAAAAGACCAATTATTCACCTTAAAGAAGAACGTGAACTGCTCCTGCTGTGGCTTCTCTTATCTTTGTCTCGCGATACCCTGGACAACGAGCGTGAACGGCTTCTCGATTTCTTCGACAGCGATCGACTTCTGGATTTTTTCGATAATGATCGACTGCGTGATTTCTTTGATAAAGATCTGCTTCGAGATTTCTTCGATAGAGATCGGCTCCTAGATCCTTTTGACAACGATCTGGTTCTACTCCTAGACCTCGATTTTTCCGGAGAATGAGACGGAGATTTTTTCGAACGTGACGGAGATCTAGATACTGATCGTTTCGATCCCGAAGAAGACCTTGATCTGCTCAATCTCTTCAATCTGGCCGGGGATTTCGGTGACTTTTTCGATCTTGACGGCGATGCTGAAGACTTATGCCTAGGAGATGCCGATTTCTTACTCCTCGATACAGAACGAGATTTCTTGTCTCTAGAGACCGATCTAGAACGACGCCGAGGCGATCTGGAAGACCTCTTCTCCAACGATACAGATCTCGTATACGACCTGGAAGGTGATCTGGAGTAAGACTTATCCCTTGGAGAGTGCTTTCTAGAAACAGGAGAACTCTTTTTCGAGGTAACTGGTGACGCAGATCTTTGTTTTAACTTGTTAGTCGGAATCGGAGGCGGAGATTCACTCGGAGAACGCAATTTTATAGTAGTGTCTTTGTGAGAGACAGATAAGGGCG